TTCAAGGCCAGGCTGGATGAGGCTTTGAGCAACCTGATCTAGTGGAAGGTGTCCCTGCTGATGGCAGGGGGGCTGGGACTGGGTGAGGTTTAAGGTCCCTTCCAACCCAAACCACTCTGGGATTCTATGGGAGAAATTTTCCAGCTTCTCCATCTCCCATAACTGTGACAACATCTGGATGAGCCCAGTGAAATCCATGTGGAGTCCTGCTGGGACTCCTGCAACCCCCCAGTAAAAGTAGACAAAGCACAGCTCACCCTTTCCAGATTGAGGATGGTGGCCATCTGGGAAAGACGGGCAAACTTGTCACGGATAGTCCAGGTGGTGACCGTGGTGAGATAGGCTATGAGAGACCTCAGCTCCTTGTCAAACTGCAGACCACCGAGCTGTGGGGACCCAGGAAGCTCTGTTAACCCCTCCAGGCAGGGACAGGGGTTGGGCCAAACACATGGTGTGGTGGTTTTAACCTGGCCAGTAGCCAAACACCACGCAGCCACTTGCTCACCCCACCCAGAAAATGGGGGAGAGAATTAGAAGGGTAAAAGTGAGAGAACTTGTGAGATAAAAACAATTTAATAATTGAAATAAAATATAAATAATAATGATAATAACAGTAATAATGGAATATAGGAATGAGTGATGCACAGTGCAATTGCTCACCACCTGCCAACCGATGCCCAGCCTGTTCCTAGCTAGTGATCCCAGAGCAGAGACAGTCCCAAAACCCCAATCCCAGAAAAGCAAGAGAGCTTTCCAGCCACCCCTCATTTATATACTGAACGTGACATTACATGATATGGAATATCCCACTGGCACATCCAAATTTCAGTTTGGATCTGTTAATCTTACGCTGGTCCCTCCAACTTCTGCACTCACAGACAAGCAAAACATGGGAAGTTGGAGAGTCCTTGATTTCTTAGCAACAGCTGAACCCAGCAGCATGTTATTGACATTCTTCTCATAGCAAATCCCACGCTGAATCCAAAACACAGCGCTGTCCTAGCTACTGAGAAGAAAATGAGCTCCATGCCAGCCAAAACCAGGACACACAATTAACAGATGTTACAGGGCAGGCAGGGGAGGTCTCTGAGCAGGAAGGTTCTATTATTTTCTATTTATTATTATTTCTATTTCTATTATTTTCTATTTATTAAGGTTAAACTTGGCTTATGTTTAGACCTAAGCCAGCCCCCTTATTGATGGAAGCTCTTCCCAGTCCCATCACAAAATGTACTTTCTCCCTGTGTGGTCCCCCAGAGCTGGCCACCAGCAGTGGCAGAGCTTCTTTGAGGGTGACATTTGCCTCTGCCCTGCCCCATCCCTTGTAGGGTAACGAGGGTGTTGTGGTGGAGAGTTTGCAGGGGTAGAAGACAGTGTGTTGCTTACCCTGCTGAAGGTGGATTTGAGCAGCACTTTCTCCAGTTCGATGGCTATGAGACTGGTCATGAGACCAGTGAGGGTATCGTAAATCACTGGAGACAGCCCAGCCTGGAAGCAGAAACCCGGGTCAGTCTTGTGGCCCTGTGCTCAGTGGTTCCTGACAAAACCCAAGCCTATGAGAGCTTTCAGTTAAAGACTTGCATGCTGAGTGAGTGGAAAGCACCAGCAAAAGCGATGCAGGTAGGTAGGGCCTGCAAGCAGGCTTTGAAAATTGCAGGAGAAGGGGGTGATTGATCTCCAAGAGCCATGTGAGGCACTGGAGGACATCTCTGCCGTTCCCCTGAGCAGGGGAATAGTCAGGAGATGCCATGTGGAGGTCTGGCAGGCTGCCACACCCCTCTCTCTCTCTCTCTCTCACCTTGAACTCTGTCATCTGCTGTTCCAGATTGACGATGAACTGCTGGACCCAGGGATCGTTAGCTTCATAGTCACTGAACTCTTCCTGACATTGAAATACAAAAAGGGATGTTTATCTGTGAACAGCAGCAAACGGCCCAGAGGAGAGGCAGGGAAGTCCCTCCTGGAGCAGCACTGCACTCATTCCCTTTCCTCAAGCTCCTCTCCAGCCAAATGTCCCTTTCCAGGCTGGGTTGCAGAGCACGTTCTGGGTATTTTACTGTTGCTCTGTGCCAAGGAAACAGCGGAGAACCGAGGGGAATGAGACAGCAGCTGCTGGGACTGTGCTGCTGAGCAGAGGAAGGAGCGTGCGGAAGCGTGGCTGGAAGTGGAGAACGCTGCACCTTACCTCCTCGATGTTGTGGGAGACGGAGAGGAACAGGTTGATCCAGGGCTTCACCTGGGGTTTGATGGCTGTGCTGTTCAGCTCGCTGAGACCTTCCTGAGGGGGAGAGGAGAGTGACTGAGCAGAGCTAACGCCCAACAACATGCAGCCTTTACAGCCAGGCTGTCTTGATGCTGCCTCACACCCTCACTGCAAGCTGGGGAAACCGACCCACAGACTTGCACAAGAAACTGAACCCAGAAGTCCCAGATCCCACACTCTTCTGGTGCTGGAGGGCTCTGAAGACACCACAACGACAAGAAAAGACAAGACTTTGGCCCAGAAACTGCTGTTGTGCTGACTTGCAGCCTGGTCTGAAGGTCTTGTGCTTTCCCAGCTCTGCCCACGCAGCTACAGAGGTTTCCTGGCAGGAGAGAGGCGTCTGGTTCACATCCCACCAGGCAAACCCCAGCCGTTCCACTCAGCACTAGCCAGGAGGACACTGTGATTGGACTCAGCAGATGCCTCCCACCTCCAGTGCAGCTTAGCTCAGCAGGAGAAGCTAAAAGGAGGATAAAAGCTGTAACCACAGCTAGTTCCTTGAATTAATCATGACCCCAGCACACACCATCTACCCCGAGCAGCAGGTTGTCAGCAAAGGCTCTTCTGTCCGTTTCGATGCTAGAGAGCTCTCTGAAAGCCCTTTCCTGCCAACCACCCCTCTTTGGCTCAGCAAGATGTCAAGAAAGCTCACCCAGCATGAAACTGTTCAGGTACTGATACTGCCTGGCATTTGATGAAAGTTTTTATCTAAAATAGGCATTTCTGAGCAAGCCCTGCTGGCAATTGCCCTTTTCCAAGGCAAATGTGATGTGCATGTGACTTGGGCAGCGTAGGAGCCTGCTGCTCAGCCTCTCGATTGCTTTGCAGCCAGTTTTAATTCTGCTCTAGTACTAGACTGGAATTTTACTCCTCAGTGATGAGCTCTTTGGTTTTGATGCTGACCCCAAGCCTCAAGAGGGTTTGCTAAAGGCATCTGGCTGTGGTGAACTGCAAAGCCAAATAAAAATCGGTCTGGCCCCTCGCTAAAGTACAAAACTGATGGCAAACCTGGTTAAAAATATTCTCTTTTTCTTGTTTTCTTTCCACAGGAGGTGTCAGGTCTTCCTGCTCCCCTCCCTGCCAGGAATCACTGTGAAATTTTAGGGAGACAGGCCCCAGCATGCCACACAAGACAGTAGCTTTAGCCAGAGAGCCTTCTGCCTCATGCCAGGGAGTATTTCCACTGGGGAAAAGAGGAGAAACCTGAAAGAAGAGCAGCTCTTCTCTACCAATAGCTCATCTTCAGCATTACCTAGTGAGGCTCTGGACAACCTGACAACCTGTGCAGTGAGGGAGAATGGAGGAGATGGAAATGCTATTAATATTTCTTCTCCTGAAGATGCTGAACTAACTATGACTGTGTGCTGCGTGAGGACAAACGGAGCAACATCCCTTCTGGCTCTGCAGCTGCTTCCCGTGCTTTTTATGCAGCTGCCAGCTGGTGTGGCTGTGCAAACGGGCTGGATCTGTTTCCATGCTTCAAAGTTGACTGATTTACTCCCTCCTGCATCCTTACCCAGCACTCCTGGAGTTAGATGTGATCCAGGCCTTGGGCTGAAATGATTCCTGCCTGAGCTTTCTCTGAAGACACTGGCTAACCCAAGTTGGAGGGGCGACATAACTCC